CGTTGGGACTGTGTCTGGGGCGTGGGATCCTTACCGCACGGACTTTGAGAATCTTGTGCGTAGCCTGCACGCCGATCGAGACCTCGGAAATGTTGGGCGGCGGACGGCAGCGCCGACCGGTGACCCGCACGCGCTTCATGTCGGCGGTGGAAATTTTCGTCAACAGCAGCATGGTCTACAGCAGTCCTGCGGAGGTGTTCCCGTACAGCAACCGTTCCAGCAGCAGTGGAGGTACGGCGTGTTTGGCAGAGGGTGTTCTTTTACGCAGCAGCAGAAACAACCGTGCCNCCTGCGGAGGTGTTCCCGTACAGCAACCGTTCCAGCAGCAGTGGAGGTACCGCGTGTTTGGCAGAGGGTGTTCTTTTACTCAGCAGCAGAAACAACCGTGCCTGCAGCAGAGGTTCGTGCCACAGCCATCGGTGCAGCAGCAGCCCATGCCACAGCAGCAGCCTCTTCAACAGCAGCAACCTCTACGGTCCTGCAACGGCGCTCCTGGTACAGCTCCAGCTTTCGCCCGCGGACCGTTTCAGCAGCAGCGGAGGAACGGCGAGTTTGGCGGCGGGTCTGTGTGTCGGCAGCACCACCAGCAGCAGTCAGGCGTGGTGTACGGCGGAGACTCTCAGCAACAGCCGCGGCAACAACAGCTAGCGGACGGGTTCACCGGGGGTGCAGGTGGACAGGTGCGTGGTGGCGTGTTCGTTGGTGAGAAGGGGGGGGGGCTGCTGCCGGGTCGTCTGCGGCGTTTTGCCGGTAAAAGCCCCCGCCAACGTAGCTTCTCTCAACCTAAACACACACTCCGCCACTCGCTCTCCCCAGCGGCCCGCGACATCACGTGTAGCACCTGCAGCAGTGCGGCAACGCGATGAGCTGAATCTCACGGAGGGCGGATACAGCAGTAGACGACGTATAGCGGAGGAACACATGCTTGGATCGTATCACGTTGTTGTAGTTTCGCCGTCCGCGGAATCACAACAACCCAAGCGTTCGCCGGAAGCGGCAGTAGTAGCAGCGGCGTCCGCGGGCGCCGCGTTGGCAATGGGTATACAGACGGCCGCAGCGGCGGCGGCGGCAGCAGCATCGGCAGGAGCGGCGGCGGCGCGGACGGGTTCGACCAGAGCGTCGTCACCGACAGCAGCATNGATTGGTCAAGAAGTTGAGTTTTTGTTTTTTTGAGGATTTGGTGCCAACTCTTGCAAAATTGTTTTTTCCAGAAATATCCTTTTTCGTTCCGACGCCTTTCTGATGTTAGCACAAATAAGAGTTGGGTACCTTTCTGAGGATGATTCTTTTGTGTCAACGGTTTGAGATAAGTTCCAGAGACGAACGCTTTGGATTCGTGAATAAACTGATGGAGGCGCGTTGTGTTGAATGTGTAGCCAGTTTTGTTGAGTAAGTTTTCTCAAGGGGTGTTTTACTGTGTTGGCTGATTGCGCGTGAAGCGTTGCAAGATCGTACATCGTATCAAGTAGGGGGGGTGTTTGTGGCACTTGGATATGAGTCCGATCCGTGCATCCTCTGTGGGGGATACGCATATGGGAGTATGGGTGTGATGGGTATGTATGCGGTTGGGGTCCAAGTGCGGTCCCCCCGGGTGAGCACACGGCGTTGTGCTCCCGGCACTTGCCTGAGGGGCTTGCGTGTTGGTTACCAGCTTGCCTGAGGGGCTTGCGTGACGAGAAAAATGTATGGTCCTTTTCTTCCTCTGCTGTTCCTGGGATAACATAGTACCCAGGCTCAACACCACAGTCCGCTGAGGGCGGCAGTGCACACAAACAGTCCGCGTCAGTTGGACCAGTAAAGCGCGGGCTTGCAGCAACTAGTACCGAGGTGCTGAGCGGAGACCGGAATGGCCTTTCGTAACGTTGAAGACAACAAGCACAAGAACGAGCACAAGAACAACAACAAAAACAATGACAACAAAAAAGCTAGCAACTCCCTGCGAGAATTTCCGCCCCACGAGTTCGTTGTCCCTCTTGTGCAACACCGGACACTTCAGGACGCACGCCAAACGAACTACTACCAGATCTCCACAAACGAAACAACGCTTTTCGCGAAAAATGCAAAAATGGCCAGCTCACCTCCGTCCCGTACTGAGTGGCATAGTAGGCGTAGTCGGAGCACAGCCCAGCGCACGTCTATTCGCGCATGTATCCCCCCCGCAGCGAGGGAGATTGACGGTACGAGGGTGGGTAGAGAAGACATGCAGGCATATGCATCGAGGAAGCCGCCGGAACGGGGGATGGACGCAACATAAGAAGCGAGTCTTTCCGATGCCTCAAGAAAAAGCGGCGGCTCGCAAGCCTCCATGTAAATAAGTCCAAAACAGCAAGCAGCAGCAGCCGTTCCGTCAATCACTTGACACTAGTCAGTCTTCTATTTCGTTGTTGCTATATTACCCTTAAACCCTACCCAAAAAACTGAAAAAAAAAAAAAGAAGACCAATCTACTGATGTATTCCTTGACACACGTCAGCCTGTCCTTCTCTCACCGCCGTGGTCATGGCGTTCGACCCCGTCATCCCTGTCGCCGGGAACACGCGGGGGTCCTCCGCGTCCGCGAAGCAGCCCAGGTAGCCGGCGGCCCCGGCGTTCAGGGGGGCCGGGGTCGTGGGGGCCGAGGAGGGGCCGACGAGGACCGGCCCCACCGTCGTAGTCGTGGGCGAAGGGGTGGTGCCCGGCGCCGGTGTAGTCGAGTTGTCCACCCATGGGTTGGGCGCGGGGGCCTCGGTCGGTGGGGGATCCTCGATCGTGAAGACCTGAGAATATGACATAGGTACCAATAAAAAGAGGGTGCAGCGGCGAGGAAAAATGCGATCGAAGGGGGAGAGGAGGATGGGGGTAACTCGTATTGAGGGGGGGGGGGGGGGGGGGGG